GCAGGGTGGGTGAAGGAGAAGAGAACGAGAGATTTGACGATGCAAAACCCGAAGACGATAATGGCAAAGCAAGAAATCTGAACGTCTTTGATGAAGACGAAGCGAAGACCATTTCCTCCTCGCCAGCCAGTGCCTGTCTGCTCGACCATAGACACGGCAATCAATGGCAGGTAATTTACATTTGATAGATAAATTTAGCTAAAAAATTAACATTCTAGTGTCGATTTCTTACGTTCTTCATGGAAGGCATTTTAACCTAATTCGTTAAAATTGGAGTTCGTTTTTTCAAAAATCGAATACGAGTTTTAGGATTTTCCTCAAATGAATCTGATTTCTTGCGTGATTATAAAGTTTAAAGTGTAATGGATATGATGCTTAAGAGTAAAAGGTTTGAGCGAGAAGCTTAGCTAGTGGCAATGGGGATGTTGAAGGTAAGGGGAGATTGTAGTTGTGTAGATGGGGAGAGGGCCCTTGTTCTTACTCAAGTTCATGTATTGTGACACGCGCAACCTCTCCTATAGCAAGCAATGGGTTGAAATAAAAGGCGTGGGTTACATTCTATAATTGAATGTTAACCTAGACTTCTCCCAACATTTTCCCATTACTTTTGATTTTGCTCAGTTGCCCTGGTGTTTCTTGCATTGATATAAACCTCTGTGCTGATCCATATGCAGTCTGATATGCTTAATGGGGATGGTGATGGCTCTGTTTTTCTTCCCGTTATTCATTTGTTTTCCTCAAACAAGTGTTGGATACTTAAAAATGGAATCTTTACCTCCTTTCTTCGATAGAATCTAGTAGTTTTTCATAGTAGAACCACCTAAAGAAATATATAATACCGCCGAGCTCAGTAACCCGGGCTTGTCACCTGAGTGGGGGCTTTAAAATGGTTGGAGATTGATTCGTTTCTGAAGGTTGGGCTATGGAGAGTTAGATGCTGGCCCACCCATTCCAAGAGGAGAGTTGAGCTTTGAGTCTTGAGTGTAAGCTTGGGGTGTAATGCTCTTAGAGCGGAGGGGACTGCGTAAGGCTGGAAACAGAGCAATGAAGACCTACAGCTCTCTTCAATGGAGGGATAATCGGCCGGTGCTTTCCAGACCCCGTAGTGCCTGATGGGCCAACCTCAATAAAGAAATATATAATATCTTCGTACTCAAAGAACTCCTTGATTGTGTGCTCTCTAATACTAAGTATTGCTTCAGAGGTTATTGTAGATACAGGCATTACTAAAACATCTTGCTCTATCAACGAGAGAATACCAATCTAGGACTGTTGACCTTCCACTACAAGAGTATATTAAACTTTCCAGTATCATTATCCTCCAATTGTTTTAGCGAATATTTATCCACTTCATTCTTACAAAATGTATTCATCCTTAAATTAACCTTTGATTTCTTATAATTCTCTTTAAT